AAGGGGGGGCGGGCAGCCCCCCCCCCCCCCCACAGGAAAGTCTGAGGGGGGAAGGGAAAAGTCCAAGGGGGGGAGTGGCATTGCCCCACACTGCACTGTGCCGCCCTGGCCCGGCCGTCTCCTGGGCCTGACCATGCCAGCCCCAGATGCCACACCGGCCGCCTCCCAGCTCTGGCCACACCAGCCCTGGCCCCAGCAGCCTCCTGGCCACACTGGCTTTGGCTGCAGCAGCCTTGGCCGCCTCCCGGTGTTATACAAATAGACTTTTTGCCTATTGCTTTTAATCTTGCATATTTTCTTGAGTCTTGCATTGCCTTAAGTAACTCCATTTTGTATTGCTTTGTAGCTTGACAAGTGCTCGACCTTTGTATGCTGTATGTGTGAGAGAATGGGTGAGAATATGTCTGTGGAAAAGGAAAATATCAGCTGGTGACTGGCTGAAGAATGCAAACAGATAAAAAAATTAACAAGGAGAATGTGCCCCACAACAGCAAGAGAACAACGGCAATAGACCTTCAAGAAAGAACATGGTGATAACCCAGCAAAAGCCCAAAGGACTGGGTGAATTGACGTGGCTATAAAAGATGGGGTGAGACATCAATTTTGGGTCTTGTTCTGCATGTTATCCTGAAGCATCAGTTTGTCTGACGAGATGGACTCGCAAAAGCCTGGCTCCTACTCGTGATCAACTTGGCTGGCCACCAACTTGATCTGAGCCCTGATAAGACTGGTAACGTATACCAGTGCAGAACAGAAATTGGGGTATGAATGTTGGGGGGGGGGGGGGGGTGTAAGCACTTAATCAATAAACACAGCATCTTGCCTTAGCCTCCCTCATAAGATCTTGCTCATGATTTGAGCAATTGGCAATTTAACACCAGCCCTGGCCACCGCACCTGCCCCAGGTGCCTCCCGGCCACACCAGCCCCAGCTCTGGCCCCAGCTGCCTCCCCGCACCAGCCAGGGGAGCGCAGAGCCAGGGACAGGAGCAGGGCCAGCCTCCGCTGCACTGCTGGGCTGGAAAGGATGGAGTTCCCAGGACTGCCGCACCCACCCTTCCCCACCCTGTGTCATCCCCAGGAAGAGCTTGGCAGCTCCTGCAGAGGCACAGCACTGGGCAGCCAAGGGGCAGCAGGGGAGCACATGGCCCCGCAATCTTTACGAGGGCAAGGGCAGGCCACAGCTGCAATCTGGGCTCAGCCTCTGCTCCATGTCTCCATGCCTCACCGCTGCTGCTTCAAAACCAGTGGGCACCGCCATGTACATCCCGTTACTGGATGGGCCAGGCAGCAAGGCACATGGCAGCACCTGCCACTTTCAAAGTGGTGGCAGCAAGGCACAGAGCAGAAGCTGAGCCCAGGTCGCAGCTGTGGCCTACCTTTGCCTATGCAAAGATTGCGGGGCCACATGCCCTCCCCACCTTGGGGGCCTGGCACCACACCTCTGCAGGAGGTGCCAGGCTGTGATTGGGGCCCTGGCCTGGCCGGGCCATGGGACACTCACCATGAATGGGGCCCCAGCTGGGCCAGGTTGTGGGACAATCAATCGCCACAGTGCAGGAGGGAGCAGGCCAGAGGCTGGGGGGAATAATTCTCCCCATGATATCCAGGGGTCAAAAAAAACAACCCATGCTGCTCCCTTGCAGCACAGAGGACAGCTGAATGTGTGGTATGTGTGGACATGTCTGTGGCACCACATAGCCACACTCATCTGGACACAGCCTATGACAACATAGTAACACCACAGGCACAGAGGCAAATAGCAGATAGAAGCTTAAAGACAAGAAAGCTAAGTTTAAAAATATACTAAAAGCAGGGCACAGATGAACTACCTCAAGTTTTATCATTGTTAAAAGAGCAGCAATGTTACCTGACAATTTTAATCTCTGTATTTCTTGATTAAAAGCTTCTTTCTAGACTAATCCTGACAACTTTTTTTTAAGGTACATTCAGATTTTACAGGCTTTGATCCAGTGCGTTATTTATTTATTTATAATAAAATTGACTTAGCCATCTATAGTGCAAACTACTAGGAAGTCACAGTTTCAGTACTGGAACATAAATTACACAGAGTCATTGTTTTTTATTAAATGACTAGAGGTCTCTAAAATAATAACAAAAGTGTATGCAACAGCATAGCAGCCGCTAGTATATATAGTTGTATGTTCAATGTACAGGGAATATTAGATAAGAAATCCATATAGTAGATAAAATAACAATTGTCTTATTCCAGCATTTCTTGTGATATTTTTTTATTCATAGTATACTAATTGTATCAGGACATTATCAAAATAAATTAATGTAGATTATGCCATTTAAACCAGGAAAGTAAAAACAATTAGGAGTCAAGGAATGCAATAGTGTTCCTATGACATCAACTTGGTAGTAGGGCTCATAAAGTAATTCCTGTCCTATTGTTCTTGTATAATATACTTTCAAATATCACATTTTTAGTTCATGTTATAGCTGTAAAGTTTTAAACTTGTTTGCAACTCTTAATCTGTCATAGTTTAACTAAGTCAGTGCATATCACACCCTCACAACACACAAGCCTCCAAACCACACAAACAAGTTCCCAGAAAATCCATATTTCTGCAGGAAAACTTTTATTAAATATTTTTTTGCTACCATAAAAGCAAAGATGAACCCTGACCCCCCAAAAAGCAGATGGTGTGTGATCTATGACAAATACATGCCCTTTTGTTCTACAGAGACCCTGTGCTAACCACCATAATATGTTAATACCTTCCACGTCATGCGTTAAGGAACATGCAAACAATATCACAAGTTGTTTGTTGTCATCCTGGGCACAAGGGAAGAAGTGGGTAGAAGTGTCTTGTTTTGGTAGGCTATTTTGTGGGTATTATTTCAAAATACATGTTATGCATTTATGTTAGCTGAGGGAATGGACATACAACCCATTTCCTGGAAGGAAAAGCAGCTGATTTTCAGCATATTAGCTACTCCATGGTTCAGGCTCTTACCCTGCAGCAAGTGGAAGTAAACTGGTATTGCTAGTCCCTGTATAAAAAAAAAAAAAAGTTACTGCAACTTAGCTACAAGACTTTCTATAATTGATTTTCCCCTCTAAATCACCTTGTTTGCATTTGTATTTTATACAATATCCTCAGCTTTTCTACCCCCAGGTTAATACTTGCTTTGAATCACAAATGTTTTCATGGCGTGTGTCTTCATCTTAAAATGTTGTTACTTTCCTTTCCTTCAAGTGATCACTTTACTAAATCTCTTAACTTTTGAAAAAATACTTCAGTACATATTAAACAATAACTTCTAAAAGCCTTGACAATTTTTCAAAGGCAGAGATAAATTAATACTTATTGAAATATCTACAACAGGTGTGAGGATGAATAGTTCCATTTTCCAGTAGGATTAATTTATTCAAGAGGCAAGTTTGTTTTAAGCAGAAATGTGACCAAGTAAAGTAATGACACTAGAAATAAGTTTTCTAGAGACTATATGCAACACGTAGGATTTTTTTTTGTGGGTGATATCTTTTACTAGGCCAACTGTACAGTTGGGGGAACAGAGATGAACTTTCTAGTACAACTGTACTCTTCATCAGCAATACCCCATAGCTCATCTAATAAAATACATCACCCATCTTTGCCCCTTGCACTTTTCCCTGGACCATTATGGTTACAAAATCACCCCAACCCTAAAAACTATATATGTATGCTTTTCACTTCTGCAGTTGCTACTTGTGTGTACAGATGGAATAAACTGCAAAATTATATGTACTGATACTTAGTACAGAGGTTCTCAGCCTTTTTAGACTCAAGGCACCCACGTAACTAGACTCTAGGCATCCTTTGGAAAATGCCAGCTCTTAGTTTTCACTCGGTTTTTAATTACAGAAAAATAATACAGCAATTTTTCTGTTGCAAGGAACTCAAGATAACAACAGGTTAGAGTGCTTTTGACACTATGGATTACTATTTGAAATCTCTGGGTTTATCTTGTGTATCACATTGTCACACCTAAGAGCACCAACATTTTTTGGAACTCCGTGACACCCCTGAAAGGATCTCAGGGCAGCCTAGGGTTGAGAACTGGCTTAGTTGCACTGCAACCATTGTTCATAAAATAAATGCCATTTTAAATATTTTAAAAAATAAATAAGCCCAAACTGTGAGAAGGGAAAGCTAGACAAAAGTTGCACTTCATAAAGTCAAAGCAGATGTTTTAACTTATAGTTTTAATATAGCAATCAAAGAAAATCCCAAATACTGTACAGTGAAGTGCAGTATAGTACACTATATATTGTTATAATACACTATTGTTACATTACAGATAAAAAACAAATATAATTAGTACAGCAATCACAAATAAAACAAACCAAAATGTGCTGCATTACAGCCAGTGCTGTGAAGATGGTACAATTTCTATGCTAATTTATATTTAACTCAACATGTAAAGCACTTACTGTTTAAAAAGATTTGTTTTCTAAATATATACACTATTAATGCTAATTTATACATTTTAAATAGCATTCCCTCGAAAAAGTGCACTCTTCCATTGCTTGGCAATAATCCTTATTTAAAAGTAAAATAAATCAGAAAATAATCAATCATGTTTGAATCTTTTATTGCTCTACCACAGGCATAAGGGCTCAGAGGGAATTCTGCATTAAGATTTTATGCAACGTTTAAAAATTTTAAATACTAAACTGATAACATTAAAGAAATTATTTTCTAGTATGTTCTTTAATAGGAGGATCATTTTCATGTCAAAATTGTATTACAAAAGCATGTTGATTCCATAATTAAAAAAATCATTGAGTGCCAAACAAATGTACAGAGAACAGTGACATTTTCTTCAGTCATTCCAATTTGTACAGTTCTCTTGGAGCATAACATTGTAATGCCTGCAGTTGTATCAAATTCGGAATTTTAATATCTGACATTTGAGTGTTACAAAGGCCCCAGAAAAACTGCACTATTATTTTTCTAAAAAAAAAAAAAAAAAAAAAAAAAAAAAAGGAGAATTAGCAAGCAACTCTGCTAATCTTATGATAGTAATAGTTTCCCCTTGAATTTAAAATTTTCTGAAATGTGTTTAAAAAAAACCCCAACACTTGGCTCTTGAAAATATCCCTTTTGTATAGAGTTGTCAGCATGCAACCTAGGGCCATGGTACTTACGTGAAGTTTGCTAGAGTACTCTCTTGGAGGCAATGTCTAAACAAGCTTTATATAATACAGCTGTATCTATATGCCATCCTTACAAAGGGCTGTTTTATGTTCACATTTGATATGTGGATTTTTTAAAACCATAGAATTTAACCACACAATAAATAAATAAAATAAAGGACTACTTTCAATTTCAAAGATGACCAGAATCTCCATTAAGCTCAGTTTATTCTTATATGGTAAAAGACTACTCAATCTTGAAGGGAATCAGAAGTCCAACTGTATGAAAGTTCTGTGATTGTGAAAATAAGGCTGTCTCAACGAATATGCTGTCATAGAAGCTAACATAGTATTTTAAAGGAAGTTCTGTCAATGTTTATTCCACTCAATAATTCCCAGAGAAATCTAACACAATATCAAGTACCTATTACTAGCCAACCTTACTAACTGGCCATTTTCATGACACTGTTAAACACTTGCATTTGGCTGGAAAGGCAACGGATGACTGTACTCCAAGTTTTCAGTATGCAAACTGCTATTAATACCAAAGCTTTTGTAGGCTAGGCTCCCCAGCTCTTACTTTGCCAAGTCTCACATTCAAATGATATGCACTAAACCCCACTGAAGCTTGGGATGCTCTATAGTTATTCATCATGAAAAATGAGTAAATGGCTAGTTCTGGCTAGGATGGTAACTGGTGAAGATGCTTAATAGGGCTGGGAACCATAGGTACATTTCACCGCGTTGACCATAGCGAGCATCAGTAGGCCTGGTAACGAACAGTAATTTAATCTTTACACCTTTTGAGGAATCCCTACTCACACAGCTTACCACCACTAGTTACCACCACTAGTATGGTGGTGAAAACATTTCTCTCTTCCTGGCACAGCTCACTTCTAGCATTTTCCTGATCCTATTAGGAAAAGTAGCACAGAGCTGCTTGAAAGATAGAAACTTTTGATTTACCTCAAATTATATTTGTGTCTGTCACACACTGCTAGAGTTCAAGGGAAACATTTGTTCAAAATTCTGCTTCAGTATTCTTTATTATTTATTTGCTTGCACAGTTACACATTTTCCCAGCAGATGGAAAATAGTTTTATTTAAGACATTAGGAAGCCATCTCATTAAAAACATTGCTGTTGAATGCATGAGAAATTTAACTAAAATAAGAACACTACAAAGATGCATGTAGATTTGGTGGTTGGCTTGTATAAAACCAAGGGAATTCACAGCCAGCTAGAAAAGCAGTTGTGATTGCTGTTCTCAAGGATTCTGGAGACCTGAAACCATTTAATTATACTTTCTTCAGATTTAATGAAGGATTCTGAGTTGTGACCCATCACAAATTACATTTTTTGCTAATGGTGTGTCAAAAAAGAAAAAACAAACTGAAAAATGACTAGTCTGTACCCACATCTGTTCATACAGAAGAGGGTAGAATGTCCAAACAAGGGGGCAGGAAAAAGAAAGAAAGAAAAATTAATCAAAACTACTCTGAGTCTTCCTTTTCAATTAATAAGGGTGCACACACAAATGTATTTCTGGAATCCCACTGAAATTGCCATAGGCAGCTGACATATTCATCTTCCCTCAGAATAATAATGGGGCTTAAGTATTTCAGTGCATTTTGAAATCTGAAACTCTCACATGCCCTCTGTACACTGTTATTCTAGGGAAGATTTCTCTCTTCTTACAGACAAGAATTTAGTGTATTTAAGCAGCCCTCCATTATCACAGCTACTATGACTAAAATGCAAAACCACCCAGGTGCCCCTGTCACTCAGCCCCTGCTTATTTAAAGTGATTTCTCTGAATATACCACTGCTAACTAAGTACTAGTCCATTTTTTCTAACACCTCTCACCATAACGGAAAGTGTAAGCTTCTGCTTCACATTCTACACATAAAAACTAGCTTTCAAAACAGCTAGGCTGCAGCACAGAGACCAAACCAATTTTTGTCAGAAGTTAAGGGCAGGCTTCCAACCTCTGCATGTGCACTCTGTTTCCCACCGGATGAGCACTGCCAATTAATCAGTTCACATGAGAGGTCAATTTTAGTGTGCCAAGTTTACTTCTTACATTGCAGTTCTCAAACAAATTGCTAATTCATAAATTAGCAAGCAGATACCTTAAATTTGTATTTATTCAAGTAAAGGTGATTTTATAATTTACCTATAAACAGTGCACTGACATGTTAATAAGTATTTAATCCCCGTGTATAAAAAGGTAGCCAATGAAAGCTGTTTTACTGTACTAATATACTTTGATAGTATTGGGGCTATTAAATTAAGTGACTTATTTCAGTTACTTTCCACTATAAAAAATAAATCCTCCCATTATTGGGACATTTAATAATAGCAACACAAAATTTGTGTATCTGATTATAAATGTAAAAAGTGAGATTTTTTTCTGATTACAAACTTTTTTTTAATACAAACTTAGTATTTGTGGAACCGGTAAAAACTCATGTGTGCGCAAAGGCTTCAACATCTAAATGCTCTAAGTTCCTTTCAGGCTGCATTAACATCTTTCACTCATTCAACTTTAGGTTAATATCAGAAGAAACAATTACACACTTAAAATAGGAATATGAAAGTAGGAAGCAGAGTGCAACATCAAAATGAACATTCTGTCTTCATGGTGTACGCATAATGACTGCTTCTTAGAACTAGCACTGGAAAACTGATGAATACGCTATTTAAATGGATACCAGCTTCTTCACAAACTGATGCAGGCAAATTTGCATCACAAACTGAAGTGAAGCCAGTAGAAAGGGTAGTCTTCATGGGCACTGAAACAGTACCTATTCCCTGTTTCCATGAACTTTAAAAATATCCACGAAGTTCAAATATCACTAGACACTTCAGAATAATGCAACCTATTCGAAAGCTGTTTCCTTCTCATAAATTGTTTCTCCATGCTCTTACCACCTTTTATCAATACTAATAATCAACATCTTTAAGAAAGAAATTGATTTGGTATTGATCTGTTGTAGCTTCTTAAAGCACTTACAAACCTCTCTGTGGTACGAAAAAGTTGACTGTCACCTCATGAGCTCAAGATTTTGGGGAAAATAAAAACACGCTACCACAAAACAGAGCCGTGAAATACATGCCTTGGCTCAGCCACCTGCCCCACGTTTCGTTATTTTCATTTTATACTAAGTAGCCTTATTTTCCCCACTAACCTTGCTTAAATTGACAGTATTCAGAAAATAGAGAGCTTAATGCAATTATACTTATTCCAGGATTTCTGACAAGCACATACAGCTATACGAATGCAAGGTTTTTAAATCTGAGGGAATGCCAGCATCATACAATTAAAATGTTGTTTATAATACCTTACAAATTTTAGCATACAATTTATTTCAGTTGCTCTTTGAAATTTATGTCCATCTGTTTATGCTGCAATTTTGAACTGAATTAGATATCTGGGCAATATTAATGTTGTCAAATTTCTGTTTTTTCCCATTCTAGCCTTCTCAGTAATTTTAAACTAACATAGTAAGAACCTCACATGGGCTTATATTTTAAGACTTCCATGGAATTAAAATTACAAAGAACTTTCAATAACCCACATCTACAGCAGATATTCATCTCAGTGCATTTCCTAATAACTAATTTACAGGTAACTGAGAGCCAGCCTGGGCAGCAGTATGGTATATTAAAAGCTATTGCCAATCACACACTTGCTATCATGCACTGAATAAAGATGATATAATCTTTGAAACATACATACAAGATTTAATGACTAATCACTGTACGTGGCCCAGCCAATAAAACATTACATTTGAACAGTAATCTCTTCTATCCTCATTAGCTTTTAAGCTATCAAGAATGATCCATTGGTTCAGTCATATTAGTGATTTCTGCATCTTGACTATCCATTTCCTCAGGCTCCTCAACAGAATTTCCCTTTTGTGCTTTAGACCTTGTGGGAAAAGTTGCTCCCACAGAATGCACCGTGTTACCATCAGTTGTTTCTGTATTCAAATGTTCAGTGCCACCTGTTACAGAAAAGGATGTCGGCAAACCAGCCTGGAAGCTCCCAGTTTTAGCAGATGAACTCACTGCCTCTACTTTTCTTTGTGACAGATCAACTGATTCTGACTGCTCTGCATTCTGATCCCGCAAGTGTCTGTCCATTGAAGCCTGAATAGAAGAGACCATTTCCTGCAACTTTTTTCGCTGTGCCTCAATTAAGGTAGGGTCAAGCTGTCTGCTGTCTCTCATAGTCACTACTCCAGGAGCTATTCGGATAAGCTCACTGTTACCAGAAGCAGCTGTGAATACAGAAGACTCTGTTTTGGTAGAACTAGGACTGAAGTCTGTTTCTGTGCTATGCTTTCTTAAAAGTCGCGTTTCCCTGGCTCTTTGATCAAGTTGTTGGCTACTAGATGCAGTTCCTAGAGAGTGACCCTTGCCTTGAAACGCAGTTATGTTATGTAGCTGGTCAGACTTCTTTTTCACTACTCCGCCGCTACCTAATTTCAGAAGTCCATGTGAAGGACTCGCTTCCCTGCTTCTTGAAGTAGCCTCCGCTCTTACTTGACTTAAGGCCTCTTTAACCAAGTCTTCAACATCAGGACCGATTGGAAAGTGACCTGCAGCATCCACACACAGCTCTAATCTATCTTCTGCAGCATTGTACACAAAGTTTTTACCAGGCAGATGTGGAAAAGTGCAGTGCTTGCCATCAGCCAGACCTGTGAAGAAATTGGGGGAAAAAAGGGGGGTAGGGGGAAAGAAAGAGGGGTGATTTAATAAGATGGTGTCTTCTGAAAACAGATCTACAATATACAGTCAAGCCTAACATATTAGTTGCTGTATTAGAAAGTTTTAAAAGGACTACTGAGAAATCAGGCAATTTATGCAGATACTCCACAGAATAATAACCTACAAGTTAGGACTTTATTATGTTTTGTGTTGACGTATTACAAGCACATATCACTGCATACAGTTGTAATGCAACACAAGTTTACTTCACATAAAAGTTGAAAACTGAAGTGCATACTTCCAATATTTAAACCTTCTACAGAGCTCTGGTAATAACTAATCAATAGGCAGCAGATAACAGATTTCAAGGCAAGGAGTTTTTTTTTTTAAATGCTTTAATTTTAAACAGTGATACTCTGGAATGTAAACTCTACATTTTAAGAAAATGGCTCTAATCTGATAGGGTAATATGTATTGTCATGCAGGATAAAAATACAAGACTGACTCCCAGATCATCTAAAGGAGGGTGCTCCTTCTATAGCAGCCTCTAAAGTTGTTCAAGTGGAATGGGTACCATTTTTAAAAGTAACTGCATGACATAATGAAAGTCTGTGGTACCTAAATCATTTCTGCATTTGTAAATGCAACTTAAATATGTTGACTGCTGTATTAAGTACTGTATCTTTTTTTTCCTGTAAGCTCTTAAGAACATGGATTTCTGTCTTCATATATCATATAGGACTAAGTGCATTGCCAGTACTAAAATAAGACTGAACAAGTCTTTATGGACAAAATGGTTACCACAGTATGGAGGTAAAAAAAGTAAACATATAAAGGGAGAATCCTCAAGTTTCAGAAGACTTGACTTTGGGGTGCCAAGATTTATGCAGAATCAAAACACAGAATACTTTTGGTTTTATAGCATTTTTTAGGAGAATCATTTTTCCTTAACTGTGCTAGTGTCTGTGTCTAGAGGAAAAATAACTTAGGTTGGAACAGTCAGTTTTATGAAAGCATCTATGGAATGCTTAAGCTGTTCTGGGTTCATATTTACATAAACAATTCAAAACATCTGAGTTGGAGTAGCCTAAAAACATGCAAGTTTTCAATACAAAATGGCAGGAAACCAAAAGGGTAGCATTTGGGCATGCTCATATTACCCAATTGGGGCACTGCACCAAGTAGCACCATACTGAGACATGCCATGGCCACTCTGCATACACAATCTCTAGAACTAGAAGTAGTGGTGCTCCCTTAGTACAATACTAAAATACATATCAATAATTTCTGCTGACAAGGAGAGGCAGAATGAGGTGATAAGGATCTCAGTGTATGGTGAAATTTAAAACTCCACCCCTGAACCACACTAAGGTAGCTAAATTACTAGGGTTCAGGTGGTGGGATGCAGTTAGAAGGAAACAATTTATCTGAGTATGGCACTACCAGGGGATGTAATCAAGGTTACAGACTAGTAGGTGCTGTTTCGCACAGCCCTAAACTCAGGATGTTCCCCAGTTTTCTCAAAGTGAATTCTACCCAAACGCACTGAAGATTATTCATCTAAAACTTAGTTTGACCCATAAATATTACGGGTAGTGGGATGAAAAGACTGCTCCAGAGATCAATCTGGGAATTTGGAGCTGTTACAGCATAGGAACTCAAGCACTTGTCTGTAGCTAGAAGTTGAAGCACCAGAGATGGCCTTAAGACTTCCCATAACAAACTAATATAGTCTCTTAAAATGTGGCCCAACAGCTTCAAAGGCCTCAGGAAATGTTATTCTATCTATTATGACAGTAGTACTGTAAAAATATTTGTACACAGCAATACAGCCACATTTAAACAAAAATATTACCCCCTCAACCTTCTTTTTGTGTTTTGTTGGCCAAGCATTTCCTGTCAGTTATGACCAGCTGGGTTAAGAACACTTGATTTTGATTTAGGTCCTCAACTCCAGCTGGACATTAACTTCTCAGAAAACGTCCTCTCCATCAGATGATGTTTAAACAGATTCACTTGCTATACACAACATACCAGTTTTCATAGTATAAACATACATAACGAAGGAAAGCCATAAAGAAACAAAACTGTCATAAGATACTTGCATGTCAGTTACCATCATCAAGTCTTGGAATTCACTAAATCGTTTAAATGAACTTTGGAGTTCTCTAGAGGAGCATGGGCTACAGATACAGTCAATATTAAGTCATGCTCATGTGGTACTGGTCAGTCTTGAAAAAAATATCCAACATTTTTCTATACACAATGTTAAAAAATGTATTTGACATGAAACAATACAGCAGATTCCAGCCAGATTAAAAGATTTTAGTTAAGATTGATGTCTCTAAAAAGAAAATCACATAAGAAGAAAGTAGCAGCGTGAGCACCAATGTAGATGAAATCAAAAAAGCTAAATTGTACTGAAAGTACAAAGACTTGAGCAGAAAAAAGCCCCAAGCTAGAGTTTAAATGAGGGAACTTAAAGAGAATTGGGCAGAATTAACTTCTCAAAAGCAACCAGTATTTCATTTCTAAAAAAACTGATTATAAAATCTATGTAAAGAACAAGTCTTTATTATATGCTGGCTTCGATTATTTCATGTTGAATTACTAGTGTGGATGGAAAATTCAAGAACATCCATTCCATATCTGGAAATGAATTCAAAATATTGGATACGTGTTTGAAAACATGAAGAAAAATAAGACTTTGAAAACCTCTACACAGACAGATTCAGCAAGTCACCTGTTCTAAGGCAGTGGTTTTCAATTTGTGGTCCACAGACCCCTGGGGGTCCACACACTATGACTAAGGGGTCTACAAAAGATGACTATGATCAGTCAAAAGTATGTGAATACCTACACTTACAATTCAAAGGGGTCCACACCTCCATTCAAAATTCCCAAAGGGGTCCATAAATGAAAAAAAAGGGTTGAAAACCACTGTTCTAGGGAAATGGTTATATTGACAAGGGACAATAGAGACAGGATGCGACTTTGGTAGAAACACAATAGTAACTGTAGCTCTTACCATTATCACCACAGAATAAGTAGACAAGCAGTTTAGTAAAACTGCATGAGAAAGCATGCTCCTTAACAGGAGAGGTTCCCTTCTCCTACACTTTAGAAATATGCAGTCAAAGACAGTGTGTGATCTCTCCTGTAATCCAAGACTGGTTGCAGGATGGGGATCCTCATTCTATGGAATTTTCCTCCTTGAATATAACACTGAGCCACTTGCAACTGTTTCCCCTCCAAAAGATTTCAGAATCCTCCCAGCTGCTATGACACATAAGGAGAAAGTTTCTTACAGAAATTCTGAAGGATCCTTTCCATACATCTTAGAGTTGCTAAGCAAAACTGATTCAGAAGACTTGAGAGAATGGGAGTCAGCTTGTAATCATGCAGACAACTGTTAAGGGTGTTTTGAGTAAATCACAACCCATGCACTGTGAACCACTACTCTATAAAATTATTAAATGGTATTTCAAGAAACAGAAGCAATCATGAAAACAAGTGACCCATCAATTTACTTAAATGTTACAGTGGCTCCCATGTTGAAGTGAAATGAAGATATAAAATATGGATGCATTTTTTCAAATAGCACATTCTTTCAAAAATAGCACATTCTTTTTTCAAATAGCACATTCTTTCAAAATCTTGGTTCTAGAGTTTCTTATACATGAAGCTGCATGTATTTTAATCTTTAATCAATATTACTCATTAAGTTAACTTTAAAATATTTTTTCTTAAGAGTACTTTCTACCTAGCTTTCACCTTCCCATTCTATACTGATTGTTTCCTATTTTAATTTTTTCACTGTGGGGCACAAAAGCTACGGTGACATTACATAACTGTTATCATTACAAAATACAAAGTCTTGAACATACTAAATTGGAATGTTTGTGATTCATACAGCCAAATATCAGAGAGTTAAGACAGTCCACAAATAAAAAGTTAGGGAAGACTGTACCTGTAGTTTTCTTCATTATGCTATAGAACACCCCACCCTGCTGGAATAAGTGAGGAAGGCCCTTTGCATAAGACCAAACATCTTCTCCTGTAAAATAAAAACAAAGTACAAATAAGAAGTCATATTGAATGGTACAAGTTAAAATTTCCATAAGTGCTCATATGATTTAACAGTTTAAGTTCCACTTTCAAAAGTAACTGACATACTTTAAAGCTTAAGTCTTACTGAAAATTGGCAGCACTTCAGACTAAAAGTTACAGAGGACATTAAAAAAAATGGTACCAGTCAAGAATCAATTGAGAATTCAGAACAAAGAACACAAACAAAAAGAGATTGCTAGTTCTGGTATTCCTGCTACTCCATTAACATGGGAATCCCTAACTTTATCCCTTGATTTCAACGCCTCATTCAAAGGATGGTGACAAAGTGTGGCATATTTCAGTACTTTGGAGAGAAGAAACAAGGTCTAACACAAATTAAGTGATTCAAGGGAATCCTTAAAAAACTAAAGTTCTGATCCATATGTGCCTGTGGTTTAAGAAGGGTTTTGGCAATTGGCATCTCTCCTTCAATATGTTGCAAATGGAAAACCTGGGAAACACAAACCACTTGCCTCATAAGACTGTGGAGTGATGTAATGAGCAAAGTATTAGTCATAAAAGGAAAACTAAACATTGTTGGTACTAATCACGTCTTAAAGCTCTGGAGCAGAACTGAAACCCAATCTTCTGTTCCAGAGATAATCCTCACTGAACATCTGATATGTTACAGCCTAATTCATCTTTTTCACTTGTTACTGAACACTTCAGTGAAGTGCACAGGGCTTTCAAGGAAAAAATGCTGCACAAATTGCCTTCTGCATATCTTCCAAATCTATTCCTCTGCCTTCTAATTTTTGTTCTTCATCTCTTTCACAACTTTTCAACTGAAGCATTCTCTTAAATAAAAGATATCAAAGGGAGTGAAACATTAACTGACTGTATTTACTTTTTAGGGAGACAGTTTGCATAAACTGTACTTTTTCATTTACTCTGTATAAACAGCAAAATTAAAGTAAGGTAAACCAGATGACTGCACACACGATGATTTCTGTAGTATGGAATATGTGGCACATACCATGTGCTCCTCATATTCCTGCAGCACACTCCCCAAAAGTTCTGCATATGACTCTCCCATACTTTTTTTAAAAATAAACTGTCCCCCAACACCCCTAAAGTAGGGTCTCTGTGTATATGTTCATATCAATCTCTCTCCTACCTCCCTCTCATCCCTATTCCCTTCCATGCAAGGGACTCTGTGTGCTCTCATGCAATCCCTCTAACATGTGTCCCCTCCTCCCCTCTCCATCGACTGTCCTAATTTCCCCCTTTATCAGGCTCTGCACATTTCTGTTCCCAGAGTTCTGGGCCCCCACATCGCACTTCTGCCCTTATACAAAGTCTCCCAGGTCCCACCATACTATTCTTGACTAGGAGAAAAGTCATTTAGGCTGTCATTTTTATATTAAAAGGTGTTAATGACCCCAAGGAGGGGTATGTTTTCTTTCTTTTTTTTTTTGATCTACAGACAATAAGAGAGATGGCTGCTGCTTAAGTGCAAGCTAACCAGTTACCAGGGGCTATGTCTGCACCAATACCCACTGCCTCTCAGAAATGGAAAGAGAAAAACAACTACTTGAAAGGTCTTAAGTATAGATTTTTAGAGGAAAATAAGGGATTTGGGTACCAAATCCACATTTTGAGGATGTCTCCTTACCTGTATTGCTAGCAGCACCATACATTTTTGCAACAGAAAACATTTTAAACCTACTTATCATTTGCACAACAGAAACACAACATACAGTATCACATCTTATCAATCAAGTGACACAGGGGACTTCTGAACCCCAAAGTCTCCCTGCCTGGGGCTGGCAGATAAGATGCCTGCCTGGGTTTCGGTAGTATCCAAAACCCCAGATCTAGAAGTCTGGGAAGGAGAATATTTGCCCTCTGGTAGAGCCACACAGACTTGACAATTGAGTTCTGCCCAGTCAGATTTTGGAACTTGACTATTGGGCTTTGCCCAACTGAATTTGGAACTGATTTGACCTTGATAAAGATCACACACACACACACACACACACACACACACACACACACACACACACACACACACACACACACACACACACACACACACACACACCCACCCACCCCCTACCTGCTCCCAGGAAGTGTTTACACCATGACCTTGCTAATTAAAAGGCCCTTCTGACAATACTACTCATGTTAAATTTAACAACATTTTTATTTTGAAAGCTGTCTAGATTGCATGCAAGAAATACAATTGCAAGGGATATCAACAGTGACTTGGAATCAATAGCTTATTTAGTACATCTTGCACATGTACAATAAGTGTTTAATCACAGCAAGACAGGGCTTGAAAATCTACCCAGCACATCCAGTGCCAAAAAACAATTTTACTAAACATGATAAAATATACTTTTGCTACCATACCCCCTGAAGATTAAATGACAAGCAGTTGCATGCTAGTAAGAGAGTACAATTAAATACTAATCAACTTTGTTAAATGTGAAGAAAATGAAGCCTTCTACTACCTTTTGGTGAACAGCAAAAATATACACTTTAATCAAAGAGCTCCATAAGATACCACCTAGTATTTTTTGAGTAAACAACGGATAAAATCTCCTATTTGCCAGATGCTGTTTGCACAACATGTCCCCCTATAATTCCTTTTGCTTCTTTATATTTTTCCTTTCCTGTATTCTTGCTTTTTCACACTTTCTTTTATCCAATGAAGAATGGCATATTTTAGTATCTGCTTTGCTATAGTATCTTCCTTCCCTATATTTTACCCTTTTTGCATTTCATAAATTTCTCTCCAGACACATTTCATGTTTCTTCTTAAAAGTATTGCATTAGCCCTCAACCCTGCTCACTTACACAGTTTGTGGACCTGTCCAGCCACCCAATAGACAGGACCGAATATGAGTCTCTGACTAGTATCAGCAGCAGGAGATCACTGTCCAGGTGCAATGTCCAAGTGACAAGGCATTCGTTCTTCTCCTCTTCCCCCATGATGGAAATTAAGAAAATACTACAAGTCCTACAAGAATTGAACCCCCAGGGCACACTCCTTTTGGCCTCCAATTCCCACTGATTACTGAAAGGGGGCTTCTCAGTTTCACTCTTCAACCACCAACCAACAAAGGCACATCTGCAGGACTGTATGAAATCCTTAATACTACTCTACCTCTCTTCCCTCAGTTTTCTGTTATCCTCCTGGACCAGGAGAGGATATTTTAGGATCCTCTTCCCCACTTAGCAGCTCTTTGCTACTGCTCAGTGCATTCTTGGTGTAGTTTACCTGGTTGTCAGATTCACCATTGCCCACAGTATTCTGAAGAGATAATGAAATACAGTTTTGGCTGAAATGCAATGTGGAAAAGCTATTGCCAGCAACAATGCAGGCACTGGTGCTGTCTGAAGAAAGACAGAACTGCATAATATAACACTGTTCATCTGAAAGATTCCTTCCCTGCCCCCAGCCAAAAGGTCAATTTTAATTAACAGTTAGATATGGGAGAAGTAGATGGCGTTTGCCCAGGAATGTTTGCCCCAAGCAAGTGGATTTTTCTAACTCTGCACTAGAAGAGCATTCTGTTAGTTTATGTAACACCCAAGGGCTACAAGAGAGCAAATTAAGGACAGCAGAAGGGATCACAAGGCAGAAGTATCAACAGTTGGAGGAAGTACAAATTATTTGTGATGTTTTGATAGAAAATCCATCAGTTTAGCAGACAGCAGAGGAAAATATATACCTCTCTCTTATGACACTATTAATCTATAATTCTAGTGGCTTCATAATGCTGCATCCATGTCAACTATTGGTAAATTCCATTTAAGATCTACAAATCTGTCCACTGCTGCTGAAATTCTTAATGCTAGGAATAAGATACATTTAATAAAATAAGACAAAATTTGGCAAATTATGCAACTGAATTTAGATTTAGAAATTCCCTAAGGACTTGACATTTTAAAAAGTTGATGCTCTTAGTAATTGGGTGGAGTGCACTGTTCCCTCAGGAGGCTTCAGCACAGTAACTTTAGATTTGGCCACATAATGGACTATGCATTTACAGGCAATTAAGTAAATGCACTTGCTCTCTTTCAATAATATAGAGACAACCCAACCTATACTAATGACAGCCCAAGATGCTCAGTTTGTCGCCAGGAAAGACAGTAGACAATAATAGCTCCTGGGCTTTTAGTTCAGTCCTGTTTAACAAAAGCAGAAAGTGTACTGAACTAAAACCGTTTTAACTAATGCAAATCCTTGCATCAAACACATTTATTAGCTTAAAAGCTGGCTAGGCTGGTTTAGCTTGAACCTAAAAAAATAAAATCGGTGTAAACCAGTCTAAATATGCTTAAATCTGGCCTGTAAGTGTTCATAAAGGGTTCTGCATTGGTTTAAAAAGACTTTTAGTTAATTGGCTTAAAACAAGTCTGAAAGAAAAAAAATAGTTTCCTTGCGGGCTTCTAAATTTTGAGCTAAGCAAACTTTGCCAGCTCTAGACAGGTCAAAGGTAGCACATCTGAAAAGAAAATAATCAAAAACATCTAAGCTTTTAAGGCTTGGCTGAAAACATTTAGAAGTTACAGAACACAGCACAAATGGTTAGGAGTGAAACTGGTAAGATCTTTAGGAAGCCTTTTGATCTAGAGCAGTGGGGGTAGGTGTGCAACATATTAGCTCTGTACCCTCCCCAATTGCCACTACAATTATCTTCCTCTCCCTATCCAGCTGCTATGCTTTCTGCTCTTTGCCCTGTGTTCCCTGCCTGACCTGCTCCTCTCCTTTTTGCTCCCTGTCTTATTTGCTACTCTGCTTTCTGCTCCCAGCCCTATCTGCCCCTGTACTACTTACTCCCTCCCAAGTCTGATGCATTCCACACACAGGGCCTATCAGTGCTCCTTGTGATGGTCAGGCTGCAGGCTGGTCACCCCTGATCTTGGGTATGGACACTTGTACATTTGGAACACTTTCAAAAGGGCAGCAGCTGTTTCATTGCTACTGCCCCTTTGAAAATGCTCCAAATGTACTTGTGTCCATAACCCTAAAAACACTCATACCAGAAAAGAAAGGGAAACTGTACTGATATACCTTACATGAAAAAGACTACACATATTTCTCATATTTCACATATCGGGAAAAAACCTCTTTATTTAGTAGCTAGCTTGACCAGCACTAGATTCTCCAAGATCAGCTTTCCTTCTAGGCATGAAAAGGTTAAATTGGTCAAGGGAGACTTCATACTTTAACACTGTTCTTGGGCCAGTGTGTAGGAAAACTATGCAGTTTGCACAGCTTTTTGTCTCTTAAGGACTGAACTTATCATTATGAAGGAGTCCCAATCTCTGCCATACGAAAAAAGTCACATTTTTCCTGTGAGAAATTAAAACAAGTTATTTTATAAAATTGTTGAAGTCTTCACTGTCTCACCATGTAATTAATGGAACTAAACAGTTGCAATAATCAGCAGTAAGAAGCTAATTATCAGCACATATTTCTTCAGAAGGAGTTTCCTTATAGAAAAACATAATTTTGATCAGAAGAATGACTATATCAAAATGGCATCTTACTCAATAGCTGTGTAATCTGTTATAGCTGCCTGGTGTTGTGCCAGAAATAAGCGTGTGTTACCATTTATTCCTATTAGCACTGCAGAGCTGATACAGCCACAGGAGAGTGACCTGGAATTTATTCTAGAATATGCATCAAAATTATTAACCAAGTTCCAAAAGCAGACTCCTTAACCAGTGATGTGAGTCCAAGAACAACGCCATTTCAGATCTCAGGTTGAGTTTGCAATTCATAAATATTTTATTGTGAACAGAGCAAGTTTAATATATAGAAATCACAGGGGCACTTGGAACTCTAAAATGCCTTTTTCTTAAAGCAAACACTGTGCTTTCAAGAGTTTTCCTGACTACTTTGGAGCTCCATTTTTAAGCAAAGCAGCTCAGACTAGTCCAAAATGGGTTTTTTAGATTGCAGCTTATAAACTAAGCTAATAACCTTGCTGATGACTGACTAAGTTCACAAGCAATCTGAACACTGATTTTTTCCAAGTCTGACTTTCCAACTAATAAATTATGAACCTCTGACACATCACACTCTGATTATGCAATTGTTTTGTTTTTAAATATTGCACACTTTAGCCATACAAATTCCCTCAGGCAAAGACGACAACTTACTCCTACAAAACACTCTAAATAGTACTATTCTGCCAGCTTATATATTGCACTGAATGGTCTACTTCCTGGCAGTAAGTGACAGGAACTGTTGTGCTGAGTAATGCAAAGCCATTTTAGTTTAGCATGCTGGTACCTGCTGGAAAGAAAAAAAAAAGAATAAAACCAATAGTGCTAAAAACAGTGTTTTTTATCAGTCAGCAGAGTAAGTTTAGACACCAAGAGGCAAGTGGAGCACTAAGAAAGGTCTAAGTCAGCAGAGCCAAAGTATGAAAAATATAAACTGAAAATGGCAAAGAAGGAAGCTCAGAAGAGTCCCTTCTTATGTATACTTTATTTTTAACCGTTTTCTAGTAATGCTTCTCCATCCTCTAAGTAGATTTAGGACTTGAATATATTCAGCTTTTTACTTTGGTACTGATAGCTTCTTTCCTCCTTGAATTAAGTCAACCACTGTGCAGTGCCCTCACACTGCTCCTCACCAGGCCTAGTCCACTCATAAAGATACACAAGCTGAGATAAAGGTGCAGTGCTGCATTGATTTGGCTAAACTAGTGCATCCCAGTGTGTGAACATGCCTTAAAACTATATCCCTATGAAAATAAAAATAAAATAAAATAAAAAATTAGACCACTTCCAAACTTCCAGTTAAGCAGATACTCTATTTTCTCCTCATCCCGTTACCTTGGCACGTATCACTGCATTCTCTGAAATCTGCGGAAAGGAAGAAGGTACATTTTGTGCCCATATCAAATCTTAGGGTTAGATGAGGGAGAAAAAAAAATTAGCTGAAAGTACTGATTTTTGATGTTACAAACTACGGACAGCACTTGAGTGTGCCAAAAAGATGCAGAGAAAACGAGGTGCTTTCTACATTAAAAAAACGTAGAAGCTGTTATCTATTCTTACTAATGTCCTGATTTCAGGCATACAAAATCATACATTTCTACTTTTGTAAAATTCATGTTGCCTATTCAATAGAAATGTAATTTATACTTAGCCTTACCCATTAATGTTGCAAGAAGACACAAAGAGTACATCTCTTTATCAACTTGCTCTTGCAGCTCCTTGGAAGATATTTTACTAGTTACTGCAACATCTTCACGTTTCACAGCATGGGTAGTGTGTGCAGAAGAAGACTGGCTGCCATCTTCCTTACCTTTAACAACCTCTACAGTTATTCTATCACCATGCTGCAAAGAAACAGGTTCATTTTCCATGCCTGCCTTGGGTGGCATAAGCTCTTTAGGTGGAAAACCATAGCGAATACATTGCAAATATGGAGGAATATTAAATTCTCTGGCTATACTTTCCTGCAGTTCCAAAAATGTGGTTGTGGACTTCAACGTAAGCATGGACTGTCGGCCATCATTTGTTGTTATCCGAATCTTCTTTTCTTTTACAGAAGTTGGAGAATAAGGAGCCTTTGTAGGTGTAGCAGGAGCAGATGATGGTCCACCACGAACAGCACTGGGGGAAGTAGTCCTAGGCTGCCCTTTTTGCTCATGTTTTAATTTTTCGGTTTTCCGCTTCTGCGTTACAGAAGCTTGATCTGCAATGTTCTGTTGAATAGTTCTTTCAGTTTTGCTCATATTTAACTCTTCCTTGTGCAAAGTTTTTGTCTTCTGTCCAGTAAGAATAATTTTGGTCGGAAGTTGCGACTCTAAGTCTTGACTTGGCTGTACATCATCTGCTCTTTGGGCATGGGCGCCATCGATATTTACAGGAGTATAATCATCAGGGTTCTTTTTGGCAGTCTGATGCAGTATCGTATTGACAACTTTCTGAACAAGAATCTCACTACCAAATTCACCAGGGAAGTGTTTGGTAACAAGTTTCATTGCAACATCATATACATTGCTGTTCAGAGATGCATCGCTTTCATACTGGAACCAATAGACTGTCTCTCTCACTACTCTTCCACCCCACTCTAGAGTAATAGGAAAAGCTTCAGGGAGATTGTCATACTCTCTACCTTCCCAGTAATGTTTGAATCCACAACCACATTTGCCACCAGTGGATCTAGTATTAGTTCTGTCTCCATCCAAATATACAACAGACCCATCTTCTCTGACACGACGTACCAAGGTACCATGACACCAGTTGCAAGCAGTCAAACTACTCAAACTATAGTCTGGTATGAGAACATCTTTTGCAGGATTATAAGAGCATACCACACTGTTCAAGGGAAAACTATAATTTTTATCAGGCCTCAACTGGCCATGTGTACTTTTTGCCAAGTTATACAGTTTCCCTCCTGGAGCCAGCCACTCTGGAGGAACATGAAGCTCTGAAAGGGCACCACAAATCAGACATTTATGAAGGCGGTTGTCCATCACTGCTTTCTTGGCAGCTGCAGTGACTTCTTCAGGGTGAACTCCAATTACACCAGTCCTTCTGTAGAAATACTGATGTACATCAGCAACTAAGCTTGGATGAATACCATGCTTGCGCATGAACACCTCCTCCATTGCAGCCACGAGCCTCATCAGGTATTTATCTTGCAAACTTCTATCTCCTCCAATCACACAACCACCATCCTCCTCCAGTTTGATGTACTTTTTTATGAGATCCTGAGGAACTCCCCACGCTTTAGGAAGCAATTTCCTCGGCAGTTTAGGTAAAGCAGCACCTTTTATTCCCACCAGAGGAATATAGTGATTACGACCAGAACTACTCCATGCGATACAAATTGGTTTGTTCAACATGCCATCCTTTCCCATGCACTTCTCTAGCGGTATCAATCCTGGGAGAAAGGTGGCCGAGTAATCTCCAGAGCTTCGCATGCCGCTCAGGGAATCCAGCAGGATGATGGGCCGGTGAAGCACGTTGGCCAAACCGAAGATGTGAATGTTGCGCAGGCCCATCGGTACACCTTCAGGTGGAACAAACAGAGGGTCACACTCGTTGATGATGTCCTCCCACTCCACCGCATCGATGAAGTCGTGAAAGAGGGCCTTGTAGTGGCTCAGGTTCTCCTTGAAGTGTTTCTTCAGGTTCTCCCGCAGCGCATGCCAGAACAGCTCCCGGCCCACCAGCGCCCTTGAGACAGCATGGACCAGGCAGTGCCCATCGCCGTCCACGTGCACGGGGATGAGGCACTCCTGGCTGTTGTTGGCCTTCTTGATGTCCTCCAGTGTGTCGTGCAGGTAAAGGAGGCTGCCCGAGCGGTCCCTGCCGTAGCCAATGGTGTCAACGCGTTCAGGCTCGATGAGGAAGGCACGGTCGCCCAGCAGGGAGCAGTCGAAGATGTCCCCCTGGTTCATCTCGGTCAGGAGCTTGGCCTTGCCCGTCTGCTTGTCCATGCCATAGCGGGCCAGGATGGGGGCCAGCAGCTTGCAGTGGTAGTTGGACAGGCCCATGACTTTGGCCATCTCGGTGCTCTTGCGGGGGGGCCCAGCGCCGCTGACGCCCAGCAGCGCGTTCCGCAGCAGGTTGTGCAGCACCAGGTCCGGGTCCGTCACCTCCTCCACGCCCAGCAGCTGCCGCTGCTCGTGGCGCTGGCCGCAGTCCGTGCCCTCGGTGCTGCCGCCCGCCAGC